CAATGCAATATCACTGTACTCTTTAACAATAAACTTAAAAAAAAAAAAAAAAAAAAGAACAATGGCTGTTGAAAATAGCAATCCCAGTCCTAAAAACCACTGGGAAGCATTTCTTGCTCAATTTTATCCTACTTTTTCTACAACAAGTTACAGTGGATCAGTATATTTGATTTGGGAGAAATGAAGTAACAGCTGCCCAAATTGAGCGTGAGCACTCCTGAATTCTGAGGGTGTTCAAATCTGGAAGGCAGGTGCTAGATTCCCTTTCTTAATATTAGCTAAATCTGAAAAGGAAAAGTCAATTTCTGCTTCCATGGCTCAGAAGTGGAAATCCTCCTAAGTGCCTGGTACTGTATCTAAAGCTGCCCAAGTCCTCTAGCAGAGCCTCTTCTCCCTTACTTTTCATTTTAAATTCTAGTGGGATCCATGTACCTCCCTTGCTAGGCTTCAGATAGAGTAGGGCACTGTCCATTTAGTTCACCCAGTTCCTTCTTTGCAAGGTGAGGTCACACCAGTATCCCTAATCCAGTCTGGGGAAGTCTTCTGAAGTGGATATCTGGGGCAAAGCCTACTCCTTGGGCACACTTGTTCCCCATTCACAGGGCCACCCCTTTCAACTCACAGCAAGCTGCAGTATGAGGTCTCAGCTACCTCACTCCCTACCCCTCCTTTTCCTGTTGATAGCTGCCAAGGGATTGCTGGGAAATGTAGTTCTTTCCCTGCTCCAGGTCTAGCTCTATAGGCAAGGGGCTAGGCAAGGAACTACAGCTCCCAGGGTCCCATGGGTTCTCAGCCCCCATGCTGGATCCCCAGGTGCTCCGTGGCTCCGCTTCTGCAGGGTTGTTAGAGGGGAGGAAGTGAGTTTAAAAAAAAAGGATGACCCGAATGCCGCCCCTTGCAAATGTGCTGCTCAAAGCACCTGCTTGTTTTGCTGGTGCCTAGAGCCGGCCCTGCTAATGTAACAACGGAGGTAGAAGATCAGCATTGGATTAATCATGGTTCTACAAAGTTCATAGCCCAGATATAAAATGTATGACTATTTGATTTGCATAATGCACATGCACTTGGTGCAAATGACTCACAGTCCTTACAGCCTAAGTACAGCATCTTGTATTTGAACTGGAGCAGAGATGGGCAGAATACTTAAATACAAAGACAGCATATGGAGACATCAGAGCAGTACTCAGTCATAGCTTCCCTGATCGTTCAGTTGAAGAAGCTGGTATCACGATGGGAGGAAATCAAGGTGGAAAAGCTGACACCCACCTTCTGATAGAAAAGGTTGGTGCGGTTAGGTTTTTTTTGGTACATACCGTGGAAGTCCCTCCAGTAGACAATAATACAGCTGTGAGATGTAGACAGTGACAGAAAATTCTATTAGAAACACAAGACCAGTTCCTCAGCTGGTGTAAATCAGTGA